GTACCAAGTTGAGTACAGCATGGGGCAGTATTGGACCAATACAAGGCTCCATTGACAGCCATTATAAAATATTAAACATTAATATTTCAAAAACTATAAGTTGTACAGGTACCAAGAGGCACAGCCATCATTTGGCACAGGAGCCTTACACATATAAATTACAATGGCAGCTCTAGGACAAAGTATGCAGGAGGAGAAGCGTGCCAAAGTGGAGATGACTTGGATGGGAAACGAATCACAATAGTGTGCATTGGCAATGCACACTGATTACATGTGGAAAATTCAGTTTCGCATGTGAAAACAATGAACAATTGTTTAAACATTTTTGTGGATAAAAACTGTAACTTTCAGATTTGTATTAATGATATTTGTCAATTTAAATGTGAAATGCACGTTTTGTACATTTTAAATGTGAATTTGGAACAAAAACTTGTAAATGTCACGTTTACACATGTGATTATCATGTGAAACATTTTTTACATTTGAATTTTGAACAAAAAAAAACTGACCAATACATGTGCATAAATGATGATTTTCCATTTATCATGTGAAACATGCAATTTGCACGTTTCTTATGTGAATTTCGAACAAAAATGTGAACATCAAATGTGAATTTTTTTTACACGTGAACATGTTAAATTCACATGTAAAAGATGTTTTGCATGTTATTCGTGAGAATTTGGAACTAAAACATGAACGACACATGAGAAAACCTTTTCAAATGTGAACAATAATTATCATGTAAAAATCCATTTTTCACATATTCTTTAAAATATTTTCTAATATATTTTAAATTTGAATTTAGAACTGAAAAATGAGCGTGAGGGGAAACGTTTCTGGATGTGAACAAATAATTATGTAAATGCATTTTTCACATATTCTTTTAGAATTTGGAAATAAAACACATCCTTCCTTTGTCATGTGGAAAATATGTCAATTAAACAAGTCAAGCTCATGATTTGCACATTTCTTATGTGAATTTAAAACAAAAACATGTAGAAAAATAAAATTTTCACATGTGAAAATGTTAAATAACCCTCATCGCCTTGGATCTTTCTGTGCACTCGTATTAAATTGAACCCCAGGAAACAAACACCTGTCCAGAACTGTTTTCACCTGTTGGGTCTGGGGAACAAGACGGACAGGTCGGGTTTTCGGATGAAGTACTCGTCGGCAGCTTTGCTGATGGTGAAGATCTTTTTCTCTCGACGGGGCATGACCTCCAGGGACAGCGGGGTTTCCACTTTTGGTCGCAGCATGAACAGGTACGGAGGCAGCATGTGGATGAAGATCTAATCAGAAAAAAACAGCATCAGTGACGGTGAAGCGCACCTTGAAAGCCCACAGGTGTGCTGATGGGACACAGGAAGTGAAGCCCGTCCTCATCTGTTCCCGGGAGGCTGACCTTGCGCACCCACATGGGCATGGTGTGTGTGTTGGACGAGCGGTGGTGCAGGTTGAGGACGACCACGCTGAGGATGACGGAGAAGGTGACCAGGATCATGGTGAACATGATGTAGTTGACGATAATCGGGACGCCCAGCGAGGTCTCTGGGATTTTATCGGCCAGCAGCAGCAGGAAGACGGTGAGGGTCAGCAGAACGTTGATGGACAGACCCATCTTCTCACCTGGAACAAGAAAAACTCATTTCATCCACGTTACAGGCTGACACTTGATCAGGAGTTAGAGACGTTACGGTGAGTTAATGGAGAGAACGAGAAACAAAACCAAAAAAGACATAATTTTCTGTGAAAATACTGCTGAAGAAACTAACACTGGGTTTTTAAAGTGTATCTTACCCCCCGTGAAAAGATAACTCCGCCCCAAGGCGAAATTTGAAAAATGCATCAAAGTGGGTAGGGGAGGGGGNCTGCTCTACCCATATGAGCAGCAAAAACACGTTTTTAGACTAAATATTACAGATTTGAACAAATACGCACAAAAACATCAAAATTAGCACAGAAACAGTACTATATAACATTTTAGACACATTCTACGCAGTTCATCAGTTAAAAAAGTTAATTTTGGGGTAAGTTACTCTTTTAAGACCAGAAAAAACAGCTAAAATGAGCAGAACAGAGGCTGAAAACTAAAAACAGTAGAGCAGTAACTAAAATCTAAAATAAAAATGCTCAAATTACCTAAACAAAAGATCAAAATAGCCAGACAGAAGCAAAACATATGTAAATTAGATGTCAAATTTCAAGACAAATACTAATGCTAAAATTACCAAAACAGTAGTCGAAATTAGCAAAATGGACGTTAATATCAGCAAAACTATAGCTTACTTATGTAAAATACATGCTAATGCTAAAATTAGCTAATCTGAAAGAATGGCACATCATTAGTACAAATCAGCAAAAGAAATGTTAAATTTAGCCAAATCAAGGTTACAGCTAAAAGCAACCAAACAGTAGCAACATTTACCGAAACAGGTGCTAAAATGAGCAACAATAGGGCTAAAGTAGTAAAACAAATTCTAAAATTATCAAAACAATTGCAAAATTAACTAAACGTATAGTATTATCAGCAAAAACATAGCTTAAATCGGCAAAATACATGCTAACGCTAAAATTAACTAATCAACCAAATGGCACATCATTAGTACAAATCAGCAAAATAAATGTTAAATTTAGTCAGACCAATGCTACAGCTATGTAAATGTTAACATCAGCAAAATAAATGCTAAATCTAAAAGCAGCCAAACAGTAGCAAAATTTACCAAAACAGATGCTAATATTAGCAACAATGGGGCTAAAGTAGTAAAACAAATGCTAACGATAAAATTATCAAAACAATAACTGAAATTAACTAAATGAATAGTAATATCATCAAAATCGTAGGTTAAATTGACAAAATACATGCTAAAGCTAAAATTAGCTAAACCAAAAAGTAGCCAATTAGAAGTAAAAATCAGCAAAACAGAAGCTAAATTTAGCCAAAGCAATGCTAGGGAAAGTCTTTGTAAAACGGCTAAACTAAAACTAGCAAACAATAGAAAAATTGTAGCAAAACAGATACTAAAATTAGCAACAATGTGCTTAAATGTAAACAAATGCTAAAGCTTAATTGGTAAAACTAACGTTTTTTTTTGTAAAGTGTCTGAGTATCCTAAAAGTGCTACATAAATTTGATGTATTATTATTATTATTATTATTATTATTATTATTATTATTATTATTATTATTATTATTATTATTATTATTAAAGATGTAGCTAAGGAGAAAAACTGTACCTAGAATCTACAGGGACCAGAATGATAGTTAAAGGCTAAAAGAAACAGAACATTACACTAAAGCTAAAAGTAGCCAAACAACAGCTAAAAGTTGTTGAAAAGTAGCTAAAACTAGCTAACAATAAGTCAAAAATAGAGAAAGTTTAAAACAGATTTTAAAGATAAAGTTTTCAAAAGAACAGAAAAGATTTCAACGTGTTCTCGAGGTCTGTTTTAATCTAAATAAAGTTTAAAAATCTGAAAACATAAAAAGTAAAAATCATGGCACAGTACTCCTGATAGAGCTGAATGTTTTGATTAAAGTATGCCAACAAAAAATGTTAGTCCCAAAAAAATGTAAGAAAAAAAATAATAAAACAACCAAACCTACAACAAACTGCTGAGTCATCCTGAGCTCGCAGGTCAGATTGAATCATGGACCTGTGGAGTTTTACCTGCGTCCGGAGGCAGGTAGAAGTTAAAGATGGCGATGATGGTGATGAGGATGCAGGGGATGATGATGTTGATGATGTAATACAGAGGCTTCCTCTCGATGATCAGGTAGAAGGTCATTTCCTCGTACATGTCGTCGTTCATGTTCTTCCTGCTCGGCTTGTGACGGATCTCCCACTCTCCGCTCTCTAACACAACATTCATCACGTCACGGGTTTTAGGGGATTTTCTGTGCGTTTTCACGTTAGCCATGCTCACCGCTGAAGGCCTCGTCCAGCTGGATCTCCCGGATCTCCTTGCCTCTGGAGTCCAGGGCGTACTGCAGGTCGATCTCCGTTGAGTCGTAGGTGTAGGAGCGGAACTGCATGGAGCAGTTCTGCCAGTCGAACGGGAAATATGTCACCTGGATGAGAAATAGGAAGCAGGTGTGTAAAAGGAGCAAGAGACAAAAACAAACAGGAAATGTGGTCGTAGCGTTCACCTTTACTCCACAGGAGCTGCAGTAGAGAGCAGGGGGCGTCCAGGTGACCCGTCCGGTGCTGTAGACCTGAACGTGGACGTGCAGGGCCACATCAAACACACCATCGTTACTGCGAACAAAGAAAACGTTAAAAAGAAAAAAAATGTGTAGGTCTTCTGGACGGGTTCTTCTCTAATGAAACGTTTCGTCTCTCCTCCAAGAGACTTCTTCAGTCTGAGAGTTTCAGGCAAAATTCAGGCTTTTAAG